GTATATTAAATAAAAATAACAATTTTCGCAAAATTTGATATAAATGAGTTTTTAATGTTAATTATTTTGTAATAACTTTCTAGTTCCGATCCATTTCTGAGAAAACGAATATTTTTCTAACATGAATTTATAACAAATCAACAATTTAATTGCAATTTGGAGTTTAAGACTTTATTTAAATATCAAATTTCAATATTAAATTTTCAACTAATCTACAATTTGCGATTTCTTTATATTTAAAAATTCAAACATACTAAATGAGAATTACGATTTACGTACAATATCAGATAACTATGTTCATACTCCAAATATTCGTTTGCTTACATTCATTAATACATCTATATTCATAGTGCTACTAATAAAATTAGGCGTTTTCTAATTGTCTTGATACATTTAAACTAAAACATTTATTTGGAATTTTGAGTCTTACATAAATATCAAACTTTTATATTAAAATCTCAAATCAATTACAATTTGTTGTTTATTTTATACCCATCAATTTAAATATACTAAAAGAGAATTACAAAACACGTAAAATTTGATTTAACCATGTTTTTACGATTTATGTAAAATATGATTTAATCATGTTCATCAAAGAATACCTTTCCGTTCTTGTAAAGATATTCTTTGATGTTCATACTCTTGATATTTGTGTGCATGTATTCATTATTATTTTAATATACGATTGGAATATTCGTTGAAATTTCTATTGAAGGTTCACAATAGTTCTCTTATTGCGTTGGTAACACTTTTGTTTTTACTGCCCAAAGTGTTTGTCCACTTCACTACTAGGTGCTTAGATAGAGAAAGTAGTGCTGTTGTTTTGCGTACATTTAAGCACCGACAGGCCAGTAACTTGCTGTGTTTTGCCACCGAAAGCACCCTTGATATACTTGTTATTAATATGGTATGTCTTCAAAATTTGAAAAGAGGGTTTAGTTTGAAATGAAGTCTCAACAATAATAAAATTTACATATATCAATCATTATATGGAATATTAAAATTTTATTATAAAATTACAATTTTGAACAAAAAAAGCTTCGATTTTTGAAAATTAAATTTAAGAATTTATTAAATAAAATACTTCTAATTCAGAACTTCTAAATTATTTGCACTTCGCTTAAGATCATTTGTTTGCTCTTTTAATTATCTGTAGAACTTCATACTGCAGAGAAATTGATGTCGCTTTCTAAAAAATGATTTAGTAGCCTAATATTATAATGTCAAATGATACCAATTTTAAATAAATGTTAAAAATACATGGCAGTAAATAGTTAATAGAGAATGTTTCAAATTTATTTATATATACATATACTATTAAATTTGTTACTGCCATGGAACTAGAACTAGAAAATATGTAAACTAATAAATAATTTGCCTGAGCAAAAAAAAAAATTCTGTTATTTTAATTTATTATTTACTTTTTAAAAGTAGTTTTCAACAAAATAAAGAAAAAGTTTTGGTACTAAATTTATTTCATTACGAAATGCTAAAAATAATTAAAATTTAAATAATGTTATCTAAAATGTTAACAAATTTAGAACAGAACACAGCAGCAACTGTTATATATGTTGTATGGCGCTGTTGAAACAACGTGGCGCCGTGGCTTAGTTGGTTAAAGCGCCTGTCTAGTAAACAGGAGATCGTGAGTTCGAATCTCGCCGGGGCCTAGGACAGAAAGTTGTCCCAATTTTTTTTTTTAAATATATTTTATGATTTTCTATAAATATATAAAATATAAATTTATATGTTAAATAAATTACATATTTATTCATACTGTAGAAAGAAAATTAATTTAAATTAAAAAAAGAAATATGATTCATGATATATTTTTTATAAAATTTTTTGGCAGTATTATATCTGAGCGTATTTATTGTTAGTATTTATTTTTGTTTTATTTTCGATTAACATCTGTTCACACACCTTAGATATGTTAGTCTTTATGACTTTTTGTCGCGTATACTAATCTAATTTTGTCAAATGCGTCGAGACACTTGCTGACTGCTGAATTTGTTCAACTCTGAATCGCAGCTAATTTAAAAAGTGGCATAAACTGCACAATCCGACATTTTTATGTTGTCACTTTTGTACCAAAATCTCATAAATTAGATGCAAATGTGTTCGCATGATTTTTTCAAAATAAATTTTAACGTATTTTTTAACATTTTATAAAAAACAAAAAAATAAAAATTATGAAAAAATTTATCATTCTAAAAAGTAATAAGATAAATGCATTTTGATTCTAAACATATTAATAATTTCAGGTAAATTTGAGATATTTAGAAGTAATAGGTGTCAAACATTTTAGTTGGACTTGTTAAATCTTTGTTTTATATATATTTTTTTTTAAGTATTTTCAAAAAATTATTTATTATACTTTTTCTGTTGTTATTAGAAAAATTTATGTTATTAATTTATTTCACTAAAAATGCAACAGACAGAAGAAAATTAAATGTTATATTAGCTGCTAAATTAGCAGGTAAATGTAAAGCGTTTATAATATAACAGAGCTGGTAATGTATGAAAATAAATTTGATGCTGTTAATTTTTCCAATCATTACTAGCGTTCCCTATTTTTATAATCAAGAATTCAATTTTTTAATCAAAATATATTAAAAAAAGATTTTAATAATTTTGTGAACATGTTAACAAATTTTTTCTTCTTAACATTATTAGTTCATAAAATTTTTTTTATAATGGTTTTTATATATATTTTAATCCGGCTATAGGTCCATTTTTGTCACATAGTACAACGTTTAATATTTTTTATTATATTCTATATTTCGATTCTCCTTGAGAATCATCATCAAGATCACGATCTAACATAAACTAATATTACTTAAACTATATCTGCGTTATCCTCTTTATTATATCATCTATATCGCAATATAGCGTTATTAGTTCATTTATTTTGTTTTAAGTTCAAACTGTTTGTATCTCAAATATTAGTTGATATACTACATATTTAATAATTTTTCCTTAAACAACATAATGTCAACATCTCACTGGTTAAACGTTATTTAACCTACTTAAATAATAAATTTTTACTGTTACTGCAGAAATATTAATTTTTGCATTTTAAATTAAATTATAAAAATAAAAATGCTTAAACATTGTAGGTAGTAAATGACCTTAACCATGCAACTTGTTGAACTTGAATTGTGTCAGATACAATTTACCCAGAAACTGGATTTGGTTTTGTCAATTTTTAATTGAAAATCGATAACCAATAACGGCACATCTGGTAAACCCAAATAAAATCAAAAACAACCTACATGCAAACATACACGCACGCTTACAGTTTGTCACAGTGCAGTGATAGCTGCACTTTGTTGGTCAAAGGAGATTGGACAAAAATATGCACATAAATTTCAAAATAGCCTTATTATGACATAAGTTGAAACTGGTCAAAATTGTTAAATTATGTCTTATTTATATTTTTGTAATGGCTTACTTTTATTATTGGTAAGTATAAATGGAAATTACGATTTAAATAGCTTGAATGGTTAAAATTATTAATGAAAATTATTACGTCGTTTCTGGACAGTTAGTATTTTAAAATAAAATTATATTAATTAATATTAATATTAATATTAACATCAATAAAATTATTACATTTTTTTGTTGAAATTGAAGATATTTTCAAACAGGAACATTAAATGTTATATATTGTGTTCAATACAAAATGTTAAAATGTTAAATATACTGTTGTTAATAATAACATTTCTGTTAATTTTAGCAGAAAAAAATTTAACATGGTAACAGTTTTTACATTAAACAATTAAAAAATAACATAATGTGTTGTACATTTTTCTGTTAACATTATATAAAACTGTATAGTATTCAAAATTATATATCAAAATTTAAAGTTAAATATTTTTTATTGACAATTAAATATATTATTAAGAAATGACAGAAACTTTATATTATACAATGAATAAATTTAACTACAGTGTACCTTAATTAATATTTTAATTCACATTCTATTGGTCTCTGAACATATTAAAAAATGACACAAATTGTAAATTAATTTTATGTTACTACATTGTATCTTAATTAATATTTTAATTAAGATCGTGGTGTTAAAAATTTAAAAATTGCAATATATGCAAAATAATTAATTGATTTCTTCACCGTAAAAATATCAATTATAAGGTATTACCCACTAATTGGGATTTTTCAAATTTTCGAAAGTATTTCAAGTTTTGATAATAATTAGCTTTTAGCTATATAGTTTTTGCCTCCTTTAGATTTGTGGAGGAAAAAGTCGTAAGTACCCACATTGACAAATAGTAGGGTTGCGGTAGTGCAATTTTTTGGGCTTCTGATTAACAATTAAAATATTTAAAATTATTTAATTGGTTTAAAGAGTCTTTGTTAAGTGTTTAAGTAGTGTTGTATAAGTAGTGTGTATATTTTGTTTTTCTTCTAAAACTCCTACAGGTGTGCTGAAAACAATTAGTCGTTGAACATAAGTCTTTTCAGTATGAAGATACATCGCTTTTCGTGTTCTTTTTTGATCATCTGACCTCATGACAAGGAATAGTGATATACTACGTTGATAAATATACACTCGTATGTATGGTAAAATTCCCAGGGGTGTTGTGAATATTATTTATTGCTGTATATAGTGAGTGGTTTCAGTAACTTGAATCAATGGTGAACATATTTGTTTATTTAGTATAACAAATGGTTCTGAGACGTGGTCCCAATAGATCTTGACGTTTTTTTTTAATTATATGACCTTTTGACAAGAAGTAACGGTGTGTAATGCTGGTTTAAAAGTATTGTTTTAAAAATGTCATATTATTTATTATACTGCATAGATAATATATATTGCATATATCACTCGCAGACATTAAAAATTATTTTCTAAAAACTCTAAAGAGTTGTTTTATATTTAATTTTAATTATGCAATGATATATATCATTTGCAATTGAAAACTACAGAATTATAAATTTGTACAAATTTTTTAATAAATTTTTTTTTAATTTTTTAGCGATTTTACAACGAACGACTGTTGATGTTGGGCGCATTAAAATACAAGGCGTAGCTACGTGTTTATATTTGTGTATGGATCAATGTGGTTCTGTTTATGGCTCGGTAAGTGGTAAAATATATATCATTTTATTTAAAAGCACTACTTATTACTATCAACTTATTTAACAATTTTGTTAAAAATTACTATTAAAATTCTTACATCAAAAGGGAACTTTTACAATTCGAATAGAAAAGTGTCTGACCTCTTTTATTCGAGTCTGTTCAACACTCTTTCTTCTTAAATCTAGTTTTTTTTTTATACATTCATCTACTCCTTTTTCTTATTGTTAATGAAAAGGATAATAAATAAATCATTTATCACCACAAACTATTTTCAGTAGAATTTCTTTTCATTAATTATTTTGAAATTAAATAAAAAATAAAACAAACATAACTTAGAGGAAATCCAATTTCAATTTATTGTCATTGCACTTTGCTTTTTATAAAAAAAAAGGAAAATACTTATATAGTGAAAAAAATACTTATTTAGGTATAATAAACGCTTTTTTCTATAATCTTTTTTCTCTTATATTTTTTATCAACTTTAATTTGTGGAATCCTGCACATTTTTCAACACTTAAATTTAACGGTAATTACACACTGTGTTATCCTTTTGTGTGTAGCGCATGCTTACAGACAAAACATTTAAAATTTACAAAGGAAAAAAGGATATGAGGGACGAAATTGTACACCGAAGTGTAAATACGAGTATATAAATTATGGTTAGAAGAGTGAAGTTAAGTGATAACTGAAGTGGTTTAGTTTGGTTTACTAGTAATCTACCTTTCTGTGTCCTTTTTGCCTTCTTGCTTTTCTTATGAAACATTAATAGTCCTTTTGCACCATAAATTATTTCAAAATGACAAAATTTGGCTTCCTGCTGGGTATTGATTTTGGAAGGAAGAAATTAATTGTGACATATTTAATATTGTATAAGTAATGAATACCTTAAATTGATGATAAATGGACCTGTTGTTACTTTCATTCTATAGAATTAGTATTATTTTCTAAATAATAATTTTT